ATATATATATTATATATATATATGTGAACTAATCGGCCAGCTCAAGTCCGGTAAAAGAGTGGGAGAATTTGCGCGTAGAAGTCAACCGCAAATGCCTGAAAATCGCGGGCGCAACAGGAATCAACACAAGGCAGATCGGGTCAACAAAAGTGAGACGGCAATATCTTGCAAGTTATTGTCCAAACGGGCGGCCTGGCATTGAGCAGGGGAAACACAGACATTGGTGCTGTTCCAAATTGAGGTCCCTGTTTCGGGTCCTATATAGTCTCTCAAACGTAGTAGCTACTCTACAGGAAAGCCAAAACTGAAACTTCCAACAGGGTTTAGAGGAAAGACGCTACAACTTGGTGCACCCCGGGTTTCTGGTTCACCTGCCCCTATGAGCATGTCATCGTCAGCGCTGGATCAACATCATCATCATCATCATCATCCGCCTCCGCCTCCTCCGCATCATTCACATCAGCCCAGCGCTGTTAAAGAAGTACATGATGTCCACTCCACTACTTGGGATCTTGTCGCAGCTGGCCAACTTGGTTGGGTAGCAGACCAACTGTTTCCCGCTTCATTATCCGACGAATGGGATTGCAGGAAATCAATGAAGGGGTCATACATATATATATATATAGATAGGTATCATATTATGCAAACCTAGAAAACGAGCTTCTTCTCACCATTGCTGGTTGGCTTATCGTTGCCAACCTGTCGTTGCTTTAGCTGAATCATGTGGCTCTTCAAAGCGCAGCAACCAAGCTCCGGACTGACACGTCCCAGTCGGCCTGAAGAAATCCGATCGCGTGCATGAGCTCATGCACACTCTCGGGTTTCTGCAGCAACTGACTAGTTCACTATGGCGTGAACATCCTCGGAACATCCCGTCCAGGAGAGCCAAGATTCCAAATGCGCTGTTCGCTTAAGCCGGAAGCTGCTTAAGCAACGAAAGAGACATGTCTGTTTTTCGCCTTTGGCACCTATTGCCGGGCCCACTGACTAGTTTGGGAACCTGGAAAAACCAAAATGGGATTGTTGTGTGTCTCACCGCGGTTCCAGTCAGCAACTCCGACATGCTTAGACAGTTGGCCTCACCCGGTCTGAAACTTTCCGAAGTGCCTGAAGCTAGCCCTGCGCCTCGAACTGCGGGCTAGCCATCACCCCAAGGGTCCAAAGGAGCCAATAATTGGGTACTTAGGTTTCGGATAGTAGTTATGCAGGTTCCTATTTAGGAGTTAGGGAGAAGGCATCCCACGTCCAAGTGCGACTTACGTCCACGTAGGAACCCTGAAGCTCTTTTGACACACGACGAGGCCGTACCACAAGGGCTACAGTACAGTGGCTACACGAATATCTGAAGAACCACAAACAAGAAACGCATTTGTGCTGTCCAGCAGCATTGATGCAAACACCAAGTCCCGTGTGACAAAGCCTGGGGAACAGGATTTGGCATGGCTTTGTCTGTGAGACTGGTAGTTACACAGCCGAAGGTTCGCGGCACAAACGGCTTGAATCACGGCTGCTTTCATGTGAGATTGCTCTGCCCATCTGGCCGTTGCCGCGGTGAACATTTTTTTCATGCCAGAGGCTTTTCGGGAAAGAGGGTGGGTTGTCCAGGGTAAGCAGCTAAACTTCTGGACGTCCCGACACGGGACTCCGGGCACTGCGTCTGTATCGCGAATCTCGGAAGCACCATGACCACGAGCTCCAGCTATAACTGCAGAACTTGTGCAAACCTGCGGAAGCTACATGGAAACCGCTCCCAGTAGACGATACAGTGATCCTCCGTGCGCTCCAAACCCACACTTCCCTTCGATTCTGTTTGCAAAGGAGCCACACAGGTTTGATTTATCACGAGGGTCATAGTGATGAGTGGTGAGATAGAGCCGAATACAATCGCTAGCATCATGCTCTGCTTGCCGCTTACATTCATCATTACACCTTTTGCATTGCAGGGTTTTTTTCCAAGTCTTACCCTCGAAACGCGCAGCATTCCTCGGCGTCCCCGCGGCAGCGTGGCAAAGGCTCTTTGAGGGACCTCCGAGCATGGAAACAATAGGGTAACAGTTTTGGGCTTGAATTTGAGATGCGTAAGGTTTATGCTCTCACAGTTCGGGCAAGCCAGATGAGGTCTCAACGTCTGAAGGTCGATGTGTAGGATTTGGGATGTTGAGTTTTATGCGCTCGCAACTTGGACAAATCAAACGAGCGCGCGGAAACTTCGAGCTTCTTATCATCCCCTTACAATGTAGCAGATACCAGAACCAGACAAGAACTATGAGTATACGAATCCTGGTTTGTCCAGTGACCAGATGTTTCTGTCTGCTGGCGTTAGCGGAAGTCATTAACATGCTCGGCATCATGATAATCCGCCCAATCATCGGGTAAAAAAGAGGCAAGCTCCTCGAAGGAAACTTCGTCGTTGCGGGAGGCGTGAGGCGCGCACGGCGCGCACTCCATGAGGTGCCTCTTAATATGATTGTATACATCACAGTCCGCGACTGTGCCCGCACTCTGCTCCCGCATCTGCAGGAAATCCTTGAACTTGGCGAGCCTGTTGGAAACCTCACGGTACATTCTGGATGGGAATATGGAGGCAGCGGATGATGGTCGTCTGGCGACTGCATAGGTGACCCTGATGGCACTGGGTGCAGTGGCGGCAAGGCCACTCCAAACCGGAGCAATCGCAAAGGAGCTGCGCCAAAATGCGAGGCGCACGGCACCTGCCTGTGGCTTGGGTAAAGCAATTCCTCGGAAGCTTCGGGCATGCCGTCCCCTCTTCATGGGTGGAGTGTAGCTGGACAGCCACAGCGCGCCGAGTGGCTCGTCCAAAGCGTCCATGCAGCTCAGATGGAGAATGTTGTCTTCAACATCTCCATGTCCATGCCGCCGAACATGGAGTAGGGAGTCCTGCATCAGCTCGTTGTCCAGCTGACCGACGTATGTGTCGTCACTGTATTCATCTTGTTGAACATAATCGCGTAAAGCATCGAAAATCTCGATGAGGCTGAAGCCGCCGAACACAGTCGTGGCCACAGCTTGTAAGTTATCAGCTGTCAACCTGAAGGCCATGTCCAGATCACGCTTCTCGTCGCGTTCCTTCCTCCAGCCGCTGCCATGGTGTTGCAGCTCGTCCAAAGATTGAGTGTAATTGGCTTCAACCCGATGAATGACTTCCAGCGATGCTTCGTCCAGGATCTCATGAAAACCCCTCTTCGAGGTGCGGGACTTCTGGACCAAACGGCTGGCCTCTATCAAGCGGCATGAATTCCAGGCATCAAGCAAGAGCTGCCGATCCGTTTCGTCGTTCCCGGTCACGTGGGGATGCGGTGGATGCCCCGACTCATGCTTCCATGAAGAGTGGTCGCGGAGTATCGATGCTTTGCTCGTATCTTTCAACTGGCCTCGTATTGTCATTTCGCCAGTAAGGTGCCGCACTGGCACACCTTGACGCGGTGTACGCGGTCTGGGATGCCTGGGTCTCACAGAACTTGGGCTGCTACCGCCACTGGTGAAGCTTTGCAGCGATGGAGAGTCGTTGTCCGACAGCTGGTATTGGTGTTGCTTCGGCTTCGCTTTCTGCGAAGCAGCCGGCTCTGTCGTCGCATTTTGATGATCATCCTGAATCTGCACCTCTTGCGCGCTGCCTCTCGTCGCATCTGAGTCCTCAAATGCCTTAGAGCCAACCGACTGTTCATGCTCGCTCAGATGCGCGAAGACATGACACGTCGACAGCGGTTTCAGGGTGACGAAGCATTCAAGTGGTCCGAATCCAAGATCGCAAAGTGGCACATGATCTCTCGGATCTCTCTCCATCTCGGGCAATGTGAACTCAGCGAACTCTCGGGCTGGCAGGAAATCGAGGGAACCTGTCGGTGAAACTATGGGAGCGTGCTGCGCTGTGTTGACTCTTCTGGCCCTCTTCGCCTGTGAGAGTGCTGCACACAAAAGATGCCCTTGAGCCGTAGCCAAGAACTCGCCGGATGATGCTCATGCTCCGCAATCGGCAATGAAGCCAAGATTCGGGAGACTGCAATTCCACGCTGGCCAGAAGCACTTAAACCACATCCCGGCACCAAATTGACCCAAGACAACTACATAGCTGACATAGCTGAGCACTGAGCATGCAGCCTATACTTTATTGATACCGTCCGCCAACCGGCAAAATCCTCCACTCCTCTAAACCCGACCACGTGCAAGAGGCAAGTGGCATAAAGTGCAAGATGGAATTCCAACAGGTCATCAAGCATTTAGGTAAACAGTCAGGGCATCACTGAGACACACTATATTCTTATAACAAGCGTTAACCTGCGTGGCTGCAACGCTACCGGCACAGGCTTGGGCTGCAGCTCCCGCAGACTCTGGCACGGGAAGCGCCTATGCAAGAAAGCCGCTGTTTGCCCACAATCCGTCCGGTTTACGAGAGGGTCCACGGTTTGCTTTCAGAAGTGCGAATTTAAACATCTCCCTGTCCCTGTTCTTCTTCTGCCAAAACATGGAAGGATCTCTGAGCTCCAGTTCGGCCTGAAAGTTGTCCTCCGACAAAGCTGGGGCGCCCTGCCACAGCAAGGGCCCGCTTTGTGCCCGCATCGCCAAAGACACCTAAATCGGAAGTTGTGATTTCTCTGAGTCCGGTAAAATCTGCGGCACGATCCTTTGTTCAATCTGAGGGTTCAAGTTCAGGGGATTATCGCTGTATCTGGTGCTTTTAGTCTTGCATGGGTGGTTCGGGCGCGTCTCAAGCACTAGGCACAGAGCCACCAAGCTGTGCACTCCTGAGAAAGTATCAAGGCGCAGAGCCTCATCATGTGTGCAAAGGGAACCCGAGCCGTCTGCCTGAGACTAGAACAGAACTGAGCAAATTTGAACCACAAAAGCCAAACTTCTCAAGTCCCCTGAAAGACAACTACCCTAATTATGCAAAGGGATATCATGTGAATTTCTCGGAGCCGAAACGTTTTGTAGGTTAAGCATCCGCCAACCTGGAACCAGCAGCAGAGTCAGACCCCCAAGCCGAATATCCTGGCATCGAGGGTGTGGCTCTGCGTAAGCCGCCTCCCGACATAGAACTCGAACGTCCTGAGGACAGGAAGTTTGTAGATCGGGATACTGGTATCAGGTTGGAACTCCGAATTCTGTTTCTTTTTGGGACTTCGAATTTCCTTCTAAGATAAACAGACATGTCCAGCGGTGTACTTTAAAGGTCGCTCGCGGTTATG